TCAGGGGTACTCTTCACCCAGTCACTTCCATATGCAAAAACACATCTAGGTCTTTATGTAAAGTACCTGTTATTTTTTGTCTAATCTTAACCAAAACTGGGAATATGTTGATATAATTGAGCAGAACTTCCTTATGTAAAATGTCACGGAAATTCTTTCAGTACATGCATACAAATTGTTGGATGAAGTGATTTTAGTACAATCGGCAGGAATGTGAACGAAACTAAAAAGGCTCATTCTGTGTACTTCTGCCTTCTGAAACTGAAAAGGTGAATTCTCGCTCTCACAGACCTTCATCAAACTAAATTTGTATAAAAAAAGGAATTGAATGACTGAGGAAGAAAAGGAAATGTAAGTAGATGTGTGTGTGTAGAAGATAAGAAGGCACTGAGAAGAACAGCATGGCAAGCCATATTCTTTGAAACAAATAAGATACTATTTCTGATTCAGTATCAGAGCTTTATGCTACTGGTTTCGGGTTAATTTTTTACGAAGTTCAATTGAGTTCATATAACTGCTAATTTTTCATTTTGATACTATCTTTCACTTTGTCTTTGTTTCCTTAACATCAAAGAGCTACCAGCATATGAGGAATAAAAGTGTTTTATAACTCATGAATGCTCACATGTATACTTGTTAATAAACTGAAGATACTGTAATATGCAGTTGTTTTCACAGTTACATGTTGGTATATTGATGTCACAATTTATGTTTAATGAGCAATCATTCATACATATGCAACAAAAAGTTATTCACAATGATGGAAATGTAAATAGCTTCAGTTATAACCCTGTCTTTACTGCAGAAACTGGCAAACACCTAAGGATTTTGTATGCTGCATATTTTGCACTTAAATTCAATCTTGGTAGGGTTATTAAATAGTCGGGGAAGACAGAGGACAAACATGGCCATCTTATGGGTTTTAGTGTGGCGTAGACCTTTAAAATTCTTTCAGACTACATAGGACTACAACCTAGAAGACAGACATCTTCATATTCACTGCTGTGAGAACCTCATATTCTGCACAGAAACACAAGTTAATTTCACACAGAAGGTTCAATGAAAATTTATGCACCATAGAAATCAAAATACTATCACTGCCTAAATATAAAATAAATTTGAAAAATATATTGAATTAAATGTGTTAGAGGAAGTTAAACCAGTCTGCTCTTTTACAATATTCTTCAAGAATTCATGGCTTTCATCTCAAACGGTACTTCTGGCCTTGACACCCATGTCAAATTATAGCTGCCATGAACCTTCTAGGTTATATTGCTGTATAGTCTGGGACACGTTTACCAACGTTTCAGATGTCCTTGCTGCCTCTATAATCAGGGCCATCACCCTGATGATGGAGCCATCTTTGAATTCACAGACATGAAAACATCTACTACTGCTGTCATAATGAGAAGCGGGCTAATAATATGTTTGTTACTGTCACTGGACCGCCTTCCGTAACGTAAGGTTCTTTTTGTGGTTTATCGCGGCGGATACATGCTAACTTACCAACTTACTTCATAGATTTATTGGTCGTAATGTTGGTATTAATATATGAGTTTATGACGGACAGAATCCGAGAATGTTGGTATTACTCTGTGGAACATTGTAATCTATGACCGGTGTGCTGTGAATGTGCAATGCAGTGTAATTGTTTAGTGTTTTAGTCGGTAGTCATGTGAATTGTTTGATCGTATTCTTAACTTTATACAACTTTTTTAGGTCACCTGTTTTTAAATTAAAATAGGTACTTGCACTGCAATTATTTAGAGTGAATTCTCGGACTCGGAACCGTATAGTGATAGAGATTTATTTTGTGTAGGACATGTAGTGGCAAAAGCATAAGAGACGGGAAGCGTTGGTTTACGTATTAAAGTAAGTCGTTTTATAATTGCTTTGATTAATTGCTGTTTCAGCTAAATGTGATGTGACTGGTAATATGATTGTGCTTGTAGTGGTATGTTGAGATTAAATACACTATGTTTATGTAGTGAGAATTGTATCGTAGAGGTGAAGTGATTTTTTGTTGGCTGTTCGAAATATTTAAACCCGGATATGGCGAAAGTTGGAACAGATGCGTTTTTCTTCAGTGATTGTATGTACTGGTGAAGAAAGGTAGTCAGTGCTGATCCATTTGCTATTGAGGTACATGCTATGAATACTGTGGTTGGTGATTTTGTTGAAAGCGGTAGTTGCCAACGTCAAGTTATAATTTGATTCTTGAGGAAATGAAAAGAATTACAGAATCTCCAGGAAGGAGAACCAGCTTTAGTGTTCAGCAGAATATGCCATGCAGACTAAACAAAGTAAAATTTATAGAGATACAATTGTGGAAAGACTTTATCTATCAGTAGGTGGTTTTAAGTTTGCAAGGTGTACCTTTGTATGAAATGTACCACTGCTGAAGATATATATTGTAAAATATAAGTGAATACCTTTCATGGTTTTTTTTTCTTTATGTATGTAATGTGAAGGGGAGATTGAACAAACTGGTTTGTCTTTCCATATTTAGAACACCAGGAACTATTTGCCTGCTAGTCTTATTGGTAGCCAAAGTAATGGTCATTGTAGGAGAATGTTGGTGATGCATGTCCTGATGGGGAGAAGAATTGAATGAGTATGCTGGTGAATAACCAGACATCTTCAGCTTAATATCAAAATAATCCTATCTTGTTTTGCATTATGTTCACACGTGGTTTCTACTGGATGTGGATTTTTTGGAATCTTGTTTGTAGTCATTAACTTGATGCATTTTTTATGATATGTATGTTATTGTCTGTATGTCTGGAATACAAGGAGCAAAGTTATATTGGCACATATCATGATCGGTGAAGAGGAGGGTGTCATGGAGATAAGGCTCTATACCTCATTTCCAGGAGTAGATGGAGGTCAATTCTTATCTTCTTGGTTCATCAACTGGAAACCCCCCCCTGTTAAGTAGCCTCCTGAGAGCTGGTTAGTTAGGTTGCTGGACATTGCAGTGAAGAGAAAAATTGCAAGTGTCTCTGATCGATACAAAACCCCAGTTTTCCAGTTCATGATCTGTCATTAACTCTACAAGCACATGTGCAGTATATTCATTATACAAAGGCGCTATGTTTTGTCAGTTTAATGATGGGCTAGTCCTGCATAAGTCTCTTTGTGCCTTGAAGTTTCTGCTTCAAATCTGATCATTCCTATGTGTTACTTCTGTCTGTCCTTGGTGATTTGTTGTGACATACTTTAAATGCCTTTATCACCAATACAGCTTTTTAATTCTAAGGTTATTTAATGACACTGTTCTTGCTATGGACATAATACCAAATGAGATTGCAGGATGATTGTGTATGGTTATTTGAAAATAATGGGAAAGGAAGTTGTTGTAGCTTATTTCAAGGGGCCGTCTTTGCAAGGAATGGTTGAGGGAAGCAACAAAACAAAAAGACAGAATGTATGGTGCCCTGATCTGAATTTGAACCAAGTACTGGTATTGTATAAATACAAGTGAGGTGTTACAACTCATGATTTATGAGAGTAAGGGTCTTTACAAAATGGTGAATAAAATGATGATTATGTTTGTTTTGATCTGAGGTTTCTCTTTGGAAGATGAGTGAAATGGCAAGAGAGTCTGAACTAATTGCTTGCAAACTATAACAGTAATCACCCACCATAAACAAGGGCAACTGAAACTATGCATTAGCAACTGATCATTGCACATGGTTGTCTGCGGATGTGTATCACCAACCTTACCCAAACTAACCTAACCCAAATTAACCAAAATCAACAAGAACTGTGCACTAGTAGCTGATCATGCATATTGTCATCTGCCCATGCACCATTGTGCATTGTCATCTGCAGACTTACCGCCATGAAATCCTCAAATCCTACATATATTTTGCTTGTTAGATTTCCTGCCCAGATTGTGCATTATTATTAGATGCTCTCCCCTTGCATTTGGTCACTCACAGATATTAAACTGTTTGTTCTTGCTGCTGTCCACCACTTTCACTCTCCCACTTACGGCTGACCCAGCTGGTCCCATTACACAAATCTAGTCATTCGAGATGACTCGAGAAGCTATGAGCACTATAGTAAGATGGGCATTCAAGTCAGCTGATGCAATTGCAGTTGACTGTGAGAGGCTGTGATAGTAACTCATGCTCCCACAGCAAATGTTTGTGACAGTACATTTCCTGACTTCATGACATTGTAGGGATAGCAATGAAGTTTGTGATCAACTTAGAAGAAATTTTTTTGAAGTGCTGCTTGTCCTTTTTTTTCAGCCAAAGTCTAACATATAACTATGGTTTTCAGAGTTTACCGACGTGACTAAATCTTGAAAACTAAAATTATACATTGCTTGATATTATTTGGTTCAAAAACTGTTTCACTGTTCTAATTCCAAAACCAAGGTTGTATACATGAAACAGTAATTTTGTCATTGTGTTGCATGGTAATGAAATGTAGTCTCTTACTTTGAGTGAAGGACTGTTTCAAGGTGCCCAGGAAAATGTGATTTTAAGAAGGATGAAATAAATGTGAATTATGATGAGGAACTTGATGGTTGAAATGGGTCTTATAGTATATGTAGGAGGCTAAGATGGGTTGGTCATGTAGCTAGAATATGGAAACAAGAAATGCATACAGAATTTTTATATGGAACCTCTTGTAATATGACTACTCATAAACTGTGTGGACATTTAATAGGTTTTATAGATGGGTGGAACTGGCTTAGAATTGTCTTTTGGCAGGCTTTGGTATCAGCAGTGTTGAAATACAAAATATCATGGTATATGCAGGTGACATAATTATATGGGAACCAAATGAAGACACCTTAAAAAATAAATTCCGAGGGGATGTTCAATGTATTGAGTTGTGATTAAATCTCAGTTTAGATAAATGTGATTATGAAAATAAGCTGGAAGGCAGGGGGCATGGGAAGGATAACATGTAATAACCAGGTTGTAAAAGAAGTACTTAGGAAGTGAAATAATGACAATGGAAATGTTAGAGAAGAGATAACAGAAATAATAAAAAATGTTGGGAAATGTTACCAATTAATGAGGGACATACTTTTGAAATATAAAATGTGTAAGAAGTGGAAAAATATTGCTACATACACCTGTATTAATGCATATAGCAGGAGCTTGTATATGGATTAAGCTATATAGTACTATATGAGTGGCAGTGTAGATGCAGTTTTTAAGAAGTAGAGAAGAAAATGCCTAAAGAGATAAAAAAATAGAGAAAATCTGAAGTTAACACCTTGGAACACAAACTAACAAATGATTTGGTGTGAGAATGTTTTATGAATGAGTAAAGATAAAATTCAAAGAAAGCTTTGAACATAAAAGTGAAAGGAAAACATCCAAGAGAGAGACCAAGGTAAAGATGGGAACAATAAGACCATGTGATGTAACTGATGAGGGGGTGCATGAGTGGGAAGACAGGGTTAGGTGAAGAGGCTTGGTTGTCAGATGACCCACTGACAGTGGAATTATAGGAAGAAGAAGAAGAAGAATAGTAATATTTATATTCTACTAATAGAGAGTTGTGCTGATGAACCTCATTGATTTCTAGCATTTTAAGTGATACCACATTTTCTGTTTTAGGTGTGTACTATACTGGTTCGAATGGATAGAGACAATCCGTTGGTCTGCAGTGTGACACCTGGGAAAAGTGAGGAGAACCAAGTGGACTCAGAATCAGATAACATTGATGTGTTTTATGAGTTTCCACACTTGAACAATTCGTTTGAAGACTTGGAAGAAGAATTGGGAAAGAAGGGGCTGCTGTCTCATGTTGTCGAGCCTAGTGACGGAGCACTTGAAGTTATGGGAATTGAAAACACATGGTAATGTTGGTTTGAATTCTGTGAAAATATGCGTGCCTGTTTTTTCATCTACAGGTATGGTAAGAAAAACGGCAATACAGTGTGTCTCAAATGGTTCAGATAATTATTAATTACTAAATTTATTGAACCAAAGCTGTTGTGATAATGATGTAAATGGTTATACAGGGTGGGTGGGAAGTAAGTAGGCATTAAATAATCACTATGCATTGAAAATATAGAGGTTATAACCATTTCTCAATGCCTACTTACTTCCCACCCACCTGTATATGCAGAAACACTTGAAGTGTTCACTGTATGCATCACAAGTCCCACTACAAATGTCAAGACTGTGTTGAAGTTCGTACGTGCACTGCATCATTGCTTCATCAACTGTCATTGCCAAGCCATTTTACACTTGGGCTTCTTGTACTGCCATACATGACAGTAAACATCTGTATATATTTCAAGTTATTTCATCGTTGTATCTGCTTTGGTTCACTGAATATAGCAAATTGTAACTGAACATCGGGTTTGAGTGATCAGCACTCCTACCCCATATTTGGGAGGTCCCATTTTCAAATTTGGCCTGGATTCTAACTGTTCTGACTGGGTTTTCTTATGGTTTTCCTCAGTCCCTCCAGTTATATGTTGGAATGGTATCTTACATTAGGCTATGACTGCTTCCTTCCACACCCTTTCCAATTCATTGTTCACTATTTTCCCCCTATTCAATATTATATGGTCTGTGGCATTGAAAATGTTGAATCAACTGTAAATAAATAACAGATTACAATTGTCTTAATCATTCTTTGACAGCTTGTATCACTGTGTGAATGATGAAAAGAAAATAAAGTAAGAAAAAAATACTGTCATGTAGGTGCTTGAAGGGAGAGGAGGTATAGCTCCTTCTCATTCTTAACCTTGCCACTAGGTAGGGGTTATTTACCCCTGGGAAAGGACCCCAGTACCCATTGGACAGGAGGTTGGGTAGGCCCTATAGCCAGTATGGATGCAGGGGCTAGAGGAAAAATCCTCTACCATTGTGGATCGAACCCTGGTTGTCCATTCCTTAGGCAGTCACTATACCGATTGAGCTACCCTCGCTCATGCAGGAAGATCATAGGCTCAGTAATATCATATCAACCCCTCCCACTCAGCCCCTGCTGTGTTAACTCTTAAGCACTTAGGTATTTAACTGGTTGTAATCTGCAGCTGTCCAGAATTTAAATACAAGTGGCTGCAAAGCATTTTAATAATTTCAAGCATGTTAACAAGTCTGTAACTAATGCAATTTTTATGGTAAACAAATGCAGTAAACTTTATGTTTGTGAAGAAAGATTGTAGTATCACATAGTATAACATCAAATCTGAAAATGACCAAACAAAAGTGATACACATTTTTATTTTAAATTTTTGGCATTTACTTTCAAAAGAGAACATTTGTTTCTTCACAACATGGTTCTGCAATATAAAATCATGCCTGTGTGGCATGCACTGCTCAATTTTTCTGCTCTGCAGTGATGGCTGTTATTGTTTATGTGGGAATGAATGCAAACAGTGCTGCTCTGCTCTGTTGTTTTATGGCTGTTGTTCAAATGGCAGACACAGATGGGCATACAATATTGCGTGCAGAGGATTCTGAAAAAGATGTAGAAAATATTAAAGTAAGAAAAAAATACTGTCATGTAGGTGCTTGAAGGGAGAGGAGGTATAGCTCCTTCTCATTCTTAACCTTGCCACTAGGTAGGGGTTATTTACCCCTGGGAAAGGACCCCAGTACCCATTGGACAGGAGGTTGGGTAGGCCCTATAGCCAGTATGGATGCAGGGGCTAGAGGAAAAATCCTCTACCATTGTGGATCGAACCCTGGTTGTCCATTCCTTAGGCAGTCACTATACCGATTGAGCTACCCTCGCTCATGCAGGAAGATCATAGGCTCAGTAATATCATATCAACCCCTCCCACTCAGCCCCTGCTGTGTTAACTCTTAAGCACTTAGGTATTTAACTGGTTGTAATCTGCAGCTGTCCAGAATTTAAATACAAGTGGCTGCAAAGCATTTTAATAATTTCAAGCATGTTAACAAGTCTGTAACTAATGCAATTTTTATGGTAAACAAATGCAGTAAACTTTGTGTTTGTGAAGAAAGATTGTAGTATCACATAGTATAACATCAAATCTGAAAATGACCAAACAAAAGTGATACACATTTTTATTTTAAATTTTTGGCATTTACTTTCAAAAGAGAACATTTGTTTCTTCACAACATGGTTCTGCAATATAAAATCATGCCTGTGTGGCATGCACTGCTCAATTTTTCTGCTCTGCAGTGATGGCTGTTATTGTTTATGTGGGAATGAATGCAAACAGTGCTGCTCTGCTCTGTTGTTTTATGGCTGTTGTTCAAATGGCAGACACAGATGGGCATACAATATTGCGTGCAGAGGATTCTGAAAAAGATGTAGAAAATATCGGGTCTACAATTTATGTCTTTCGGGGCGTGCTTGCATTGCGTTGTCGGCTGGCGATCTGTTGACGTGGGTGGGACTAGTCCGTGTTTTTCCCATGAGTCACAGGCGAATCAGTTTCAGTGCTGCCAGTAACAGGGAGCTGCGAGTGTTTCTCGTAACTGATACATGTTATTACATTAATTTTCTTACCTTAAATAATTAAATATACATGTTACGGAATCGGTTTTCAGCGATAATTACCCCATGAAGAAAAGAAGAAGACTTTTGCTAGTAACTACCGGGTCTGCAATTTATGAGGCTGCGGTCGTGCTTGGATTGCGTCGTCGGCCGGTGCTCTGTTGATGTGGGCGGAAGTTGTGCGCATTCTTCCGGTGGGTGACCGGCGGATCAGTTTCAGTGCCGCTAGTAACAGCGAACTACGAATATTTCTCGTCATTGATACATGTTATTACATTAATTGTTCTGACCTTAAACCACAAAAGATGTTCAAAGTGACTTCCTTGTGCTTGCAGGCAATTCACATCTCGTTAACATGTTTCGAAATACTCGACGAAGCTCTTCTTGGGATATTGCCAAAATGAATTGTCGAATATTTTCTTTAAGTTCTTCTGCAGTGTGCGGATTGTTTACATAAACTTTGTTCTTTAGCATGCCCCACAGGTAAAAATCGCAAGGGTTTAAGTCTTGGGAACGCGGAGGCCACTGATCGATTACTTGTTCACCAAACACTTCTCTTAATGCTAACATCGACCGATTAGCTGTGTGAGCTGTAGCATTATCTTGCATGAAGAAACCGTAAGTCTTTTCTTCATCGGTCATTTCTTGGAAAAAGGGTCTAAGTATTAAATTTACATAACGTTCACAATTAATTGTTTCATTATAAAAGATTGGCCCTATTATTCTCTTGGAGGTAACTGCACACCAGACTCCAACCTTAATGTCATGAAGAGTATGTTCATGCAACTGATGTGGATTTTCGGAACTGTAGTAGCGGTTGTTTTGAGTGTTGACATATCCACTTAAATGCAGCCATGCTTCATCACTAAAAAACAATAGCTCTGGATTAACAATCCCATCATGCACGGATCCCAACAACCAATTGCAGAAATGAATCCCGTACTATGAAATTTTTTTACTAAGCTCTCACACTTACACCGGGAAAATATCTGCGAAATTTACGGCAGCATCTTCCGTAGGATGAATATTTGGCATATGTTTCGACTGAGAACACACGTTGCTTAATACTATACACAATATTATCAACATCAATCTGCTACGAGAGACGCAGTGAAACTGATTTGCCTGTGACTCATGGGAAGAACACGGACTAGTCCCGCCCACGTCAGCAGATCGCCAGTCGACAACGCAATGCAAGCACACCCCAAAAGACATAAATTGTAGACCCGGTACTTCAGAATGCTCAAAAAGAAATAAAAACAGTGAAGCAGGAATCTGAGCTGACAGTACATGTTATCTCACTGTATGAGAAAAGTCACACCTCTGTATTTTGACAGTTATAGGTTTGTCAATTCAACTGTTGTAGTGAAGGTTATAGCAATTGTTAATCATCAGTCTAATAAGATTGGAGGGTAAGTAATCACAGTTATTTTAGTAGTACCTCTACACCATCTTAAAGTGATATTTATGGAGAAGGTTCATGAATTAAGTTGGTTTTATGCAATTATTACACACAGATATCACTTCCTTCCACATTCCTCTGGTTGCACTATTTTTATCATCATCCTGATACCTTGACCTTTAAAAGGACATGTGATGCGTAAATGCATCACTTATTACACTGACAGGATAATGTGTGATGCTTATAGTACAGACACTTTTCAGTTTTTAATGGACATCTCTTTCAGTTAGTATTTCTGAAGTATGCTTTTATGTGTAGTCAAAGAAAAATCTGGAGATTTTATACTTTTCCTTGTTAGAAACCTTCTGAACGAAGGTGTACGAGCACCCCCAGCCTACCATGAGAGGAAGATGTACCCCAGAGGCTACAAAATTAACATGGCTAGTCCAGTTATGACTGGAACTGGGCTAACAATTGAAAGAGGCTGCATTGTTGCCTTTGTTCTGCATGCAAAAGGTTACACAAACTGTATTCATTTGTGACAAGTGTGAGGTTGGATTATGTGTATCCATATTGTGAGGATTACCATAAAAACTGAACTTTCAAATACTTCACAGCTTGATAGATACCCCACTCATATAAAACTGTAGCAAGTTTTTGCTTGTTATGTAAGAAAAACAGTATCGTGTATATTAGTTTTAGATAAAAAATAACGATTTTTTGAATATATATATCTGTGTGTGTGTGTGTGGTTTACTATTTTTGTGGGTTAATAATCTCTGTTTTGTTTGCATGAATACAGTTTTTATTTCATAATTTTAGAATTGGTTGGTTAGAAGATATGAACAATTTCTTGCAAGGATTCCAGTTTTTATTTATGTGCCCAGAATTAAATCCATCCAGAGAGGGGTACAGTGGATATTTAAAATCAGTATGATGAATATTAACTGATATTTAACCTGTTTTAGGTAGCTAACTGCAAGTTGTAATGTTTCAGTGCGTGTAGAGTTCAGACCTATTTATGTCTTCCAGGACTGAGGAGAATACTTTTGCCACCCCTCCTTCAGGAGATTTTCCCATTCCTTTGCCACCTCCAGGAGGATTTGATGATATAGCATGCTTGGACACAAATGCTCCAGCACCAGAACAAGGCCCATTCCCTGACCCTGACTTGGGCACCCTCTTCTCAAGCGAATCTGAGGCTCAGGAGGATGTAAGAGGTGAGACAGTTTGTTACCAGAACTACGGGGTGTCAGTAGGCCCTTTGTCTGTGTAAATTCATAAAACTTTTTACTCTACTAGAAATAAAATGTCCTGCATGTGCATTTGCAAGTGCATGTTTTGGCATGATGTAAAATTTGTGTCACAGATTCAGCAGCGTGCCCTGGGGTGTCTGGCTTGAGGAACTTGGGCAACACATGTTTCATGGCATCAGGTTTGCAGTGCCTGGCTGCCACTCCACCTCTCATGCAGTCCTTCCTGTCACGAACGTCCGCCGAGAAGGAAAATGTGCACTCTCTGAATGATCAGTTTACTTTACTGATACAAAAGATGTGGAGTGGGAATTACTGTGTGCTGCAACCTATTGAATTGAAGCAGGCGCTGGGGTTCAACTATCCACAGTTTAAGGACTTTCGACAGGTAATTTCCCTTTTCTGTATAATGTGTCCTGCCGTTTTATACAGATGAATTTGGTGTGGTCTTTAAGCAAGAAGTTTCTTTCACCCATTTATTTCAAAGCCCATGTGGCAAATATATGCGAAGCTTCCTATGCCATTTACTGTAGTTTCTTATACCATTGTAAATGCAGTTTTAAGCAATGCAAAATAAAATAAAATAAATTTGAAGCAGTATACCTGTCAAATGATTAATTGTAGTTTCATATAGAAAACTGGTAATCTTTTGAATGCATTTCATGAGGTAGCCTTTGAATAAATTTTATAAAATGGCCAATGGTTTACAACCATTTTGACTATGTGGTGAAATGAAATAATTATGGAATTACATGTTTCGTCAACAAAAGGTTCTATAAAACACTGTAGATGAGACGGTAATTAACGTGTGGAAAGAATTAGCTGCACCAGGATCCTAAAGAACGATGCGCAAAAAGGGCTTGATAAGAGATACTGTTTTATGACGCTTGTGACAGGCCGATTATGTGTAGTGCTGGGAAGGATGAAGACTTTGATTGTCGTGAATGAGTTTGAGTTGCTGTATGTTTTGTGAGGCATTGCAGGAAAACTGGCAATCAGTCTTGAATGTCAAACCTATTGAAGAGGTAAAAATGAGCTTCGTTTGTAGCCCATGGAAATTAGCATGCACATCATTCAAGAAATTTGTGTACTACAGAAGACAGTGAAGAGAGCATTGTGTAAGCGGTTGTATTTTATGCCTACAAGTATATGTCACGTCATCATAGCTGTAGGATATTTTGTGAAGATGTGCAGTCTTTCAGCAAGATGGTGAATTTCCTCACTTCTGTGTGGATGTATGGGTTTGGATGGGGTGAGCAGCTTTGATTCTTCTCTGGGGAGGATTTATCAAGGAATGTATTTGTTGGCCGTCATTAGTGACTTACCTCTATGAATTAAAGGACAGGATTACTGCAGCAACTGTGGCAGCTGCACTAGACATGTTGCAGAGAGTGTGGGAGTGCTGCTGCATCACTGGCGTTGGACATATTGAAACCACGTAATTTAGCTCTGTTCACTAAAACTTTGGCTTTTACCTTCTGATAATGTTACTGACTTTTTTCTTTGGCTAATATGCAGAGGTCTGTTTGTATTGTTGTTTAGAATGACGTTTTCTCTTTTCAGATAATACTGACCCTTTAAACTGTAGTGTTGGGAGACAGCCCAGATTGTCCACAACGGACAGATGACATATACGCTTGACAGTAACAATTTGATTGTTATTGCAGCATGATTGTCAGGAGTTCCTTGCTCTGCTTTTGGACAATCTCCATGAACAACTAAATACAGCTAGCTGCAAGAGCATCTTGTCTGATGTTTCCACCGCTCCACCCACCCCACATAGTCAGTGTGAGACTCTGGATGAGCGAGAGCCAGTGAGGAAACTAATTGATGGGATGGACCAAGAATCATCTACTCAAGTAAGTTTTACATTATGAAGAACTAATGTTGCAGTTAATGGAACAACGCTAATATTTAACTCTATGCTGAACCATTTCAATTGAACCTTTTCTGCTCCCTGACATTTTATTTTCTTAAAATGTGTTTTAGCAGGCAGATTAGGTTAGGTAGCAATTGGGAGGTATATAGTTCGATCTTGGTCAGGAAACTTGCTGCTGTGGTTGAGGTTTCTCAGTCCCTCCGAATAAACGTTGGAACTGTTACTTTAAATGGGTCACAACTATTCATGTGCATTATAAATAACCAGTGTTGCATGGCCATTATAAAATATATTTTAAGATTTTCCTCATATCTGTGCATATTTTTGTTTTATTCATTGTGACATACTGTGGTTAACCTTTACCTTATGAGATTAAAATTGCTCAGACATATGCATACAGCTGGATTTAATTACCATTTAAATGCTAGAGAGAATAAAAATTACATTGGGTGTGTAACATTTGTTAAGCTAGAAACACCAAATAAAAAGTAGGTTATTAAGACTGAATCAATTTTTATATATGAAGGTTTGAGAAAACCAGTCTACACAGCTTACTTTAACCATTCTGTTTTTGATTGTATTTACAATTGTTGATTGTTTATTCTTTGAAGTGAGATAAATATTGTAACTTTCAGTGTCAAAATGTACCAGAATCTTATGAAAACAAACTAAGTTTCAAACTACTATTGCATTTCTCTTACCAGAAGTTGTGATATTTCTTAGCTTCGAGCACCACTTTCTCTTCAATGATTTCAATCATTGTTTCCATTCTAAGAATAAGAAAAGGTAAGCAGTTCATTTTTGGCCTTATTACATCAGAGATAACATTTACAACAGGAATAACTGGGGATTGGCAAAGGGAAATTGGTGTAACTTCCGTTAAAGATTTGGCATTGTGTGCCTCATTTCAAACTGAAAGTACAGGACACGCATCAGAATTGGTTTGCATGAGTGTTAAGGTAGACTACATACAAAAGTAAGGAGAGAATTTAGGTACACAACCTGGTCTGAGGTTTAATCCTTCAAGTAGCAGTATACGAGGGGTGTTCAAAAAAGACTGAACTTTGTAAATAGCGTGCCAACGGGGACAGAGAGTGTGCTGCTGCTACTGAGTGCACCTAGTGGCAGATTTTGACGACAAAATGCCATTTGCCAAGTTTCGCTATGAACATTAGTCGTCGAGCTACATCCACTGAACTGAGCACGTGCACAAGCTGTTCGTCGGATTAGTGACAATGAAAGGATTTGAAGAACAGCGTGTGTGTGTGTGAAATTTTGCTGCGAACTTGGTAAAAAAAATTTACAGAGACATTTCAGTTGCTTAACCAAGCATACAGGGAGGACTGTATGAGCCGAACGCAGTGCTAGGAGTGGTTTAAACGTTTTAAAGAGGACAAAACGTCGGTCGGTGAAGATCCCAGGCCTGGACGACCTTCCACATCAACAGACGACGACCATGTCGTCAAGAGTTCATGCTGTGATTCGTGGAAATCATCGTTTAACTATCCGAGAAGTTGCTGACGAAGTTTTAGCGCGTTTGAGGGATGCTGTGCGCAGGAAGAGGCCTGAATTGTGGGAAAACCAGACTTGGATGCTGCACCACGACAATGCGCCAGCTCACGGGTCGCTCCTCATCCGCAGTTATCTGGCAAAACATCAGACAACCGTTGTGCCCCATCCACCCTATTCTCCAGACTTTGCCCTAGCAGACTTTTTCCTGTTTCCCAAAGTTAAAAGCACTTTGAAAGGACGTCGTATCAAAACCATAGAGGAGATTCAGGAAAATGCGATAAGAGAACTGCGCGCCATCACAGAAAGTGCGTTCCAAGAAGCATTCCAACAATGGAAGAAATGTTGGGAACGGCGTATCGCCAGTAGAGGGGACTACTTTGAAGGGGACAGAGCTTAAAATGTTGTAAAATTAGCAATAAAGTCTTTATAGCAAAAGTTTGATCTTTTTTCAAACACACCTCGTATACAATCTTTAATACTGTACTGTAATGTAATTTTGTAACAGGACAGTATAATTCCATTTGGCCATCTGTAATTATATCTAGGTGGATAACATACCTCTTGATTAGACAGTAGAGGCTGAATATCCTCTCATTACGAGAAGGATATAAATCACAGTGCTCCTCATAATGCAGATTCTTTTATTCTTTGTTTTGTTCATGTGTCGCAGTTCCAAGGTTTTACTTAGCAGTTTGTTTTTCATTACTTTCATAGATATTTTAGCCCCTGTGGTATGAAACCTAATAGTCATATTGCATCAAATGCTGGAAGTGTACTCCTGGAAACACGAGTGCTGGCTAAATCATCGTTTTGTGGTGTACTTTCAATATAGGACTTACGGAGATGCAATCTTAAAATTATTGTTTATTGCCTACTTTCAAAGTATTAGGGTTCTGTTTTGTTACTGTAGTAAACATGATTTTATACTATTAATAAAATGGCTAAATGCAATTACTCACGGGTATGTTTTAAAAATTTATGTACAAAATATATTTTCCAGATAAGATTTGAACGTGTTGTTTGTATGTAGCTCATTCCCCAAGGCATTGTTGGCCTGCTCCTGCAATCCTTCTGTAACATTTGAGGGTTGTGGGAGCAAAACACAAGGAAGAGTATGTTTTTACACAAAGCTTGTTTTTTTAATTTGTGTTCCAGACTGGAATTTCAATTGATGGATTACGCTGCAACCATTCATCTTCATCTCACAGCTCTGAGAGTTCTGGAGATGGTCGCAGTCTATTTCGTCTCAGACCTATCCCAGAGGATATTATACCTTTCAAAGACGTGAATGCCACTGATGAGAAACACGAAGGAATAGTTAGACAAGCACTTAGTATCTGTAATCATACAAGTCAAAATGAATCAGAGAAAGAGGAAATTCATTTTATATGTAATCAGACTTTTAATAGTGAAAGTAACAGCAATAATTTTGTTGCTCAGAAGCTTCGAAGAAAAGAATGCCAGATGTCTGCTGTTCAACCTGTGCTGGAGAAGAATGAAGTGGCACACCAACTGAACAATGTATCACCATGTTTCAGGGGTTTGGAAGACATTCTAAAGGATGCTAAGACCTCAAATGTGAATGTCTTAGTCACAGAACTTGAGGCCAACAATGAGATCAGATTTGACTCGGAGAAGTTTCCAAAGTATGAAAATGTAAGACGCCGAGATCCTCTGGAGATGCCTAATCTGACAGAGTTTCATAATTTTGATGGTAAGACAGTGAGTGTTAAGCGAATCAAAGAGACAAATCTTTTACACGAAACATTGGACTCTCCACCAGAATGCAGTGAAGAACTGGTTCTGGAATCAAGCAAATGTTTCAATAACATCAAACGTATGAAGCTCGAAGAGCGTGAGAAGAACTTCCGTATGGAGTGTGAACGTAAGCTGAGGAGTCTAGACCCCTCTGTAGTGGTTGAGACTAACTCAGCAGATGAATTGCTTGGTGCTGGGGCTTCTTCCTGCCACACACATCTTCCCATTAACTTCAATGATGAGATAGAAGCTGACAAGCATTGGGAGAAACATCTCAGTGTCAACCAAAGTGTCATTGTTGACACATTCCAGGGACAATTTAAAAGCACGGTAAGTAAGTTTAAACCTTTACTGCAGAACTTTTGTCATTGCTGAGTTTTCTTAAGAGTGAAGTCATTTTCACTGCAAACAGGGAGCAGTTGTATATTTTGCACTTGTATTTTTTTATTCTATCAGTTAATCTTCATCATACTGATTTTAAATATCCACTGTACCCCTCTCTGGATGGATTTAATTCTGGGCACATAAATAAAAACTGGAATCCTTGCAAGAAATTGTTCATATCTTCTAACCAACCAATTCTAAAATTATGAAATAAAAACTGTACTCATGCAAACAAAACACAGAATATTAACCCACAAAATTAGTTTATTTTGTTAACCACACTTATATATATTCAAAAAATGTTTTTTTCTTTGCTGAATGGGACTAAAGTGTCCCACTACATTACAACATTCAAAATTATTTTTTTTTCAGGACAGAATCTTGCATGTCTGAAATGCTTTTGTAGGCTATTTAGATTGTCATATTATTCGTAATTTAATTATCTACTTTAATGGGTGTGGTTTCTTATTAAAATTCTCCTGAAATTTGCAAAAATAAATTGATATATTAAAAATGTCTCTCTCTCTCTCTCTTCATTGTCCCACAGAATATCAAAATCAGACAAATCGTTGCTTCATAAATGCCCCTCCTTATATTACCACCTCTTTCATAAAATCTCCACTTCCTTATCCTTGTTATTTGATACAGATTTTAGTGTCCTGCTCAGTTATCAATGGTTTGTTTTGTGTGTATACTCAAAGGAGCAAAGTTTAGACTTTTACTCTGCTTAAAATATCCATGAGTTTATGAGATTGTCATATTACGTATTGGAAAGAAGTTTAGCTTTTTTGGGGAGTCACATATGTTATAAAGCTGTTCTTAATGTGTAAATTCTTACATAAATCACTAAAGATCTTCTACCTATGTTACAGGTTGTGTGCTCATCATGCAAACATGTTTCGGTTACATATGAACCATTCATGTATTTGTCTGTCCCTCTACCTCACGCCATGGAAAGGCAAATATGTAAGTAGAAGTACACTACAATCAGAAAATTTAAAGTGGTCATTCAAAACTTTTTTTATTTAATATAGTGTTTTGTTACTTATATTCGAGTTTCTGTGAAATGCTCAAGTAAATGTAAAGCGTTGGTATTTATGCTTCATGTGTAGGAGTCATTTTCTGTCACACATAGAAATAAAAGGCAATTAAAATGGATGTGACCTGCCATATTTATCCAACTAATATGTTCACTATTTTCCAAAGGTTTTTCATGTAACCGCATCATATTCAAGGATTTGATTTGGGTAGCAGAAGATGCTATGCATTTGGGAAGTCCATTCTTAAAATTCTCTCTAACATTAGCTACCTTGATTTATGTTTTTTTAGGTGCATCATCAACTGGAAGTTAAAAAGTGTGCATATTAGTTTTCTACGTCTGTCCACATGTAGCAGTTCATGTATGGTCAAATGTACATTAATGAAATTTGATACATGGGACTTATGTTAAAATTAGTCATCACATTCCAATTTTGGTTAAAAATGGACAACAGTAATGAGCACTTTCTTTGAAGACCTGTGTACATTGTTTTATATGTGAAAGTTGTCTTTGAAGTCCTGCATAGGAATCTCCAGCTAGACACCTTGCTGTTGCAACTGATTGACCTCAGAATTATTATGCCATGTACATAGTACCTAACGTTTTGAGATGTATTTGCAACAGCATTGCGAAACACACCTGTTAGTGTCATTGTGTCTGTCTTTCTGCTTGTAGCAACTCAAGAAATCTTTAATATATCTCTATGAAATTTCACCTAGATGGCATTCAATATATGAGCACATTTAAAAAAACATAATGGTGCCATCTGTAAGAGTGCTTTATCCTGATGGAGTAATCTGCTTCCAATGGGAGCACACCTCTATCCATGATTCACATGTTGTTCAAGAATAGCTATCATGGAAGGCCTATATCAAAGTTATTGACTGGTAATGAGTGTCTGATATGAACTCTTTTGGGAATGTGTGGAGTGAAGTGAAAACAAAAATCTGTAGGAAACCTGATCTCACCTCCCTGCAAGAAATAGAGATGCGCTTTTAAACTTTGTGTCAGAGACTTGGATGAATTTGCTTTATCTCAACATTATAAGCAATCTCTAATTTAGTCCATACTGAGATAAATGAGATCCATGGTTGAGGCCTAAAGATTCTGGACATTTTATTAAAGATGACAGGTCTTCAGAACAGCTCTTTGAAGGTTAAAACACTAAATCAAATAGTTGAATGATATACAAGTGCACACTTCTAATTAGTATTTTTGCAAACATAACATAATTATCATTAAAAGAAAAAATGCAGACAACATTATTCTAACTCATAAATGTATTCTTCATTTCAACATTAGCTGTACTGTAGTGACTTGCCTATGAGGGAACACAACCAACAGTGGGAATAAAAGTCGTCAGCACCACTTTTTCTTCAGAGTTCGTCACATGACTCATAAAAGTCATTAACATTAATTATCATTTTTCTTAACATTAGGCAGATACATTGGTGTTCTTGTTTACTAGACATCTGTTGTAAATCAGTGTAAATGGAAGGAAGAAAAGAGCCAGATGCAGATAAATACAAGGAGATTGTGAATCACTGAAATTACTGTACCAGCTGTATGCTTACATCACTTCCTGTAAAATTTCAAATGCTTGTTTTTTGTTGTACTGAGTGTACATGTGTTGAATAGGTTGAGATATTAAAACACTGTCTAGACCCTCTGTTTGAGACTGTGCTGTCATCTAAACGGTTTCCAATAAATGAATCTGTTTAAATAAAGAAAACCTATATTCTTGTATTTTTAGTGATATTAATAGTGGGAAGTGCATAAATTGTATTGCAGTTTACTCCATATTTTCTTTTTTGTTAATAAGAAGATAAGTAGGTTAGAGAGGGTGAATAAATCACATCTTACATTGAAAACATGCTTACACATAGTCTGTGATCTGTTGGTATGTTTATTCTGATCCTGGTCATGATAACACTTGCGTAGCATGTGTGACTTACAGTAGTTTTGCTTTTTTCTTCTAGGAGCATTGAGAATGCGAAGGTGCAAGAATGAATTAATGTGGAAACTATGTTTTGGTACAGATTACACCTTTTTATTATTGTTAAATTAGTACTGATTTCTCTTATTTTTTGTTAGGTGTAACATTTGTACCTGCAAGTTCAAAGAAGCCTGTACGGTATCTTGTGACTCTGAATAAACAGGATAAAGTTATGAAATTAAAGGAACAACTAATCAAGTCTATAGGTCAAGAGGCACCAAAGAATATTGCTTTGGCAGAAGTGTTGGATAGCCACATTGCAAGAATATTGGTAAGGTGAAAGTTCTGTATTGTTAATATTGTTTGTGTGAGATATAATTTGTTAGTAGTTCTTTCAAATTCAGCATTCTTGTTTGCTGTAAGCATATTAAAATATCGTTAATTCAGTGTTTTGCCTAATTTAATGAAAACGTTTTTGATCTTTGTAATGTGACTAATCCAGACTGGTTACTTTGCAATTTGAAGCTTTAGACCTGCAGTAAACAAAACCTCATCAATTCAAAATTATATCACTACTGAACATCTTTTACTTGGAATAGAGGAGAAGAACAGTATTTGAAACTGTGATTCATATATTTTTTTAAGTGAATGTGAAATGCAAAATACTTTACTGTGATTTCAATTTTAGTTTCAGTAAATCATATGTTGAAAACTGAATGAAAATAAGTACTGTACATTTGTAACTACTTGTAAAAGTTCTTATGTATGTGTTAAATGTGTTCAAGTCACACTTTTAAAAGTCTGGATTGTTGTTACAGAACATTATAAAAGTGGCTAGAAATATCATGACATAAATTTGAGCTTTGGTTCTCAACACTTTGTTAATATCAAGAATGAAAACTGAACATTGTATGTCTGTTGATACAAAAAAATGCAGGTGTGAAGATTGCTGTGTTCTGGGTTTTAGCACTATATAGTCTGGTACATGTTTACCACTGTTGCAGGGGTCCTTGCTGCTTCCATCATCAGGGCAATGAGTCACAGTTTACCCTGATGGAGGGACTTTTTAAGACTTCAGAATACCTATAATATAGAGTTTTGCAATTTTAGATAAGTGATTAGTTTTGAGCAGTATTGTTCTACATTTAACACTTTTCTTTATTGCAGGATGAAAACTCCCTTCTGCGTTACGTTAATGATACTAATCGTAGCATTTATGCTTTTGAGCTGCTTCCACCTCCAGTTGCTCTTGATTTGGAAAAGAAGCCTGAAGAAAAGTCACAGCCACAGGTAGAGCTGAATGAGTAACTATTTGAATTCAGACTCTGTGGAGTTTTAAAGCCCACTGTTGGATCCTATCCTAAACGTGCCAAATTAAATCTTAATCACATTTTATTTCCCTAAGATCACTTTTAATACATTTTTTTTACAATTATCTTAAAATTGTCTCGTTTTCAATAGTTATCTAAAGGGTTGTCATGACCCACCTTCTGAATCCTACAGCTGCAAAGGGTCTCACTACCTTAGGACCCCTGATGTGAAACTATACCATTAAAATTAAATGGGATTTTTTTTCATTGCATGATGTGTTTTGATTCAGAGATTGGTAGAACATGGCATGTGTTAGAAGAATGTGCTAATCTTCCAGCTGTGAAATAGGTTTTGAAGTTCAGATTGATGCAGAGCAAACGTTTGGATACTTCTCATTCTTGCATTAGACTGAGCCTTTAAAGTCCTTTCCATTTTATGTATAGATTCATGAATGTCATTGGATTTTTGTGTGAAGTTAAATAGGAATTACATCTGTTGTTGATATAACTAAGCATTTTTCCTGTTTATTGTTGGTGTTAAAGAATGAAAGTATTTCCTCAGACACTAACAAAAATGTTTGTTTAGTGAACTTTGAAAGCTTCCACATTTTATGCTGGTAACAATGGTTTCTCCTTACACCATTTGGTTTATTTTTGATAAATCTGTCAGTGATGTATCCAAATCTGTGAGAATACTTTTAACATCTCCAGCTACGCCTGCTGTTCCATCAGCAGAGAGAAACTTTCGTAACCCTTTGTGGTCCCTTTTAAATACCACTATGGCTCTCTACTGGTCTATTTAAATACCATTAAGCTATATAAATTCAACTACTATAATGAACTAGTTTGATTTTCTTTGATAACTTGCATAAAATGGAAGAAACTTTGCTAAATATGGTGAAAATACTTTCTGAGAGGATGACATTTCCTTTTGTTTGAATACTGACCGTGTGAAATATTTTTCACGGACTGTACCACTGTCGCTAGTGAGATGTGTAGTAAATGTTGCTCCCCTGCTTGATGTTGTTTGGTAGAGAATAAAGCAACTTGGTAGATATGTCTTCAGTAACGTCTAAACATCTCTTATTGCATGAAGATACACGATCTATAAGCACTGGATTTCATCATCTCAGCGCTATGCTTCCTTTCGCGCTGATTGTGTTCGAAAGTTCAAGACCAAGTTCAACACCATAAAAGTGAAACAAAATGCGAAGTGTAAATGATGAAGTCACTGTGCATAAAGAATGTTTGATAAAAAGAATATGCATACATCAGTGGTGGATTACTCAATGCATCAAAAATAATTAAAAAAATAAAATTTCCTACTAGGAAGATGGGATATTTGTTTTATAACTTGATCAGATAAAAATACTTCTATTCTAAGTAAATATGACAGTTACACACCCAATGGTATTCCCTCACTATATGATGTATCGCAAAACACTTGGTGTGGAATCCTGGCTTCCTTGGACACGTGTCAGAATAAAACGACATTTCTCTCCTGTCTCCTTTCACTATTATGAGGTACAAAAAGTCTTACCAGGAAAACTAGGATAGAACTAGTGTAAAGATGAAGGCTTGAATGATATACTGACACTGTTTGCCAGCCTCAGTTTGACTACGTGGTGGACTCAGTCTGACATCGGACCAAAACTGGATTTTTAAATTTCGGACTCATTCCGACATAGGACCGCAAAGGGTTAAGCTTAAACATGAAACCATATCTGAGTTGAAACTTGTTACAAGAATTGACATTGTTTTTTGAATGTGTGGTGAGTAGTGCACTGGACTTAAAGGACATGGCAATAGTTTTGTTAGTTTACGTGCCAGCTAGCAGTTTGTTGCTTCTTGAAAATCTGTGTTGTGCTGTGATGTTTGATGGCTAGATGATTAAATAATGCAGACATTAATGAGATAGGAGGCAGTGATTATGGTAATTATTTTGGTGAATTAGATGGCAAGTTTTTTAGTTGTAAAATGATAACCAAGTTTCACTAAATTGTTTTGGATGAGAGTACTATGTTTTGCAAATACACATAAAACATTGAACTGGAAAGGGTTCAAATTTGTCCGTATCATCTTATTCTGTTTCATCTTTATCTTTAAAATTTCTTTACTTCTTGGTCTCTTCCTTTTGGTTTTTTGTTCTTTACCCTTTAAAAGTCTTATTGCTGCTGCTATTATTCTGCTAATATCTGCCTGTCCATTTCTTCTCCACATGTTAATATGGTATGTAGTAGTAATTCTGGAATTTGTTTCCCCCCAACATTTGTTTTTAGACATTTCTGAGTTGAGTCAGTAATATCTGAAATATTAGTGCTACGCGATATTTGAATACATTATTTGTGTACAGGCTGTACACGTGAAATGTATGCTGTTTTACGGTAATGTTGCTCATGAACGAAGAACCACTCATTTGAGTAGGTTGTATGGTCAAGTTTCTGTAACCTGCGTTTTAGAGGTGTTCAGTGAGGGCACCGTAAGTGGCCCTGTAGATGTCATATCTGTATTTAGTTTTGGTCCACACATTCTTAAGCAAGTCAAAGGTTACTATATCCACTTTATCTTTTATGATCTGAGCAAGGTCCTACAGAGTGGTAGCCAGTGATGTTGGTGCATACACAGCATCCTTGGAATACCCCCAAAGAAAATATCAAGGGTAGTAAGGTCAGGTGGCTGAGTGATTGGTTTACCCCTGCCATACCTTATCTCTGGAATCTTTTAATTACCTTGTGAAAATGTCTTCTTGGAACAGCATAGCACATCATCAAGATCCTCTTCTTGCAAAATAGGTATGAGGAATTTCTTTGCTTGAGATGGCATTTTAGCAACCATGAGCATAACTCTTAATGTGGAAGTATTTTGGAGACTTGTGTGGCACAAATTATAAACTTGATTTTATAACGTACTCAAATGCATTTAATATTAATTCTTCTGCCTTTTGGTTCATGAGCATTGTTACAACAAAATTGTATATGTGTGTGCACCCTGTACTTGGAGATGGAATAATATAAGTTTGTTCTTGTTCTGTGTGATTGTTCTTATCAGTCATTTTTAATCCAGTTGTTATTTAAAACGGTTGCTAACACACACAGGATATCACATCACATTCCATTTGTATAGCTGGAAATCTCGTAAGTCCAGAACCATAGGAGAACTCGGTTATTTAGCAGAATACGGAAAAATTTAAAAAGGTGAAAGTTACTACAAATCATGAGTATCTGATCAGGAGTGTTGAAATTTGTAACCTAGGCAACATTTTTTTCCCTCTTTACACTCTTCCATAGTTTACCAAAGAAATGAGTTTTCCTTTGGCTTATCGAATATTCTCTGTGTGTGTAACATTTTATAATTTCTAACTATTTTTAATGTAAGTATTAACTTATTAGTTGGGCAAGGCCGTGGTCTAGGCAACACGGAGTTTTCCTCCGGGGGCTTCCTCGGTTTCTCCGTGGCATCCCCAATTACTCCATTCACACACAGAAGAAGGCAATAGCAAACCACTTCTGGATCATCTGCCAAGAACGTATATGAACAGGTCCCAGTCCGAGAAAAGGATGGAAGGATCCTGTTCATATGGACCTGTCCTCAGACAGAACACTATTAATAATAATTAACTTATTACATATAGACGTTTTTAACCAAGTGTGATAAATATTGATGGTAATAAGGGGAGTAGCAGGAGAGTATAGGAAGTGGAAATGTGCAGTGTGTACGCACCTGAGCTTTGAATGAGTACAACATTTTACATTCTGACTTCATTAATATGATACAGTTAGTGGGAGTAATCATAAGAATCATTTGTACTGGGCATAGGCGATAACTGATAATTTACATTGATCGTAATTTTCTGTAGTTCAGTGTAGAGTGGACCTAATGAATTGCATTGATAAACACATACTGAAGATGATGTAATTGGTAAAAATGCATTTATGTAATCAAGAAGTAAATGTGTTGTGGTATGATACAAAAATACAAATCAGAATTTGATTTTTGGATGGTCTGAAGATTGTGAATATAACCTCAAATTTTGTTTAAAAATCTGTATTTTAAATTGAGTTCTAATGTAAAGTGTATTCCAAATTGTCCAGTATGTAACAAATATTTGTCTAAATTTCAGCAAGGAGCACAATTATTAAATTTAATTATATGTTTGCAGATAGATATAAAGAGTGGTGTCCACCAAATTTCAGATACGAGTTTCCATACAAAACATTTGTGAACAGTTTTATTTTACCCAGTGTGAATGAATGTACCCTGCTGAAGTTTTAAGCTTGAAATTGGTAATGTGCATGGAGGCATGTACATGTTTTGTACACCATGGAGTAATATGTTAGATGTTATTATTAGTGGGCAGGAAGTGGTGATAACCTGGATAGCAACAAGAGGTCTGGAGAGCCTGTGGACTTGGCGCCAGTGTCTGAAGGTGGGAACATGATGGATGTTCCAAGCAGTGATGGGTCAGGAGATGCCAGTGGTACTGCTGCAGAACAAGGAGATGCTGCTGACTCAGTTGCGTTCATTGGTGTCGGGCCCCTTACTGAGAGCGAATACGAGAGACTGGCCGGTAATTTGGTGAATGGTCCTGGTGAGAAGGGGGATGGCTGGAGGAGTTGTGCCATCTGTTTGGAGGAGATGGACACAGATCTTCGACGCCACGCATCCTGCAGCTGTGTCCTGTGCGAATCGTGTATTGATGTAAGTTTACTGGAATTTTAACTCATACTTTTTAGGTTTACTTTTAACAAATTATTTGATGAAGCATTGTTTAATGACAGATAAGAGGATGATATGAGCAGTAAATTGAATGAAGTGGGATAAAGCTGTCATAATGTTTATCAAGATATTGAATACTGGCTTTCATCTGGGAGGTCTGAGGAATACCATGTGAACCTCAGCCAGATCCCTGACAGATTTTAATTGACTGTACTTCTTCCGCATAT